GCCCAGTCACACACGGCACCTAACACCACCAGGACAGGATTCGGCCCAGGTCACATACGGCACCCAGCACTACTGGGACAGGACTCGGCCCAGGATCACATATGGCACCTAACACCACCAGGAAAGGACTGGGCCCAGGGTCACACACGGCACCCAACACCACCAGGACAGGACTCGGCCCAGGGTCACATACGGCACATACGGCACCTAACACTACCAGGACAGGATTCGGCCCAGGATCACATACAGCACCCAGCACTACCAGGACAGGACTCGGCCCAGGGTCACACACGGCACCTAACACCACCAGGACAGGACTTGGCCCAGGGTCACACACGGCACCTAACACCACCAGGACAGCATTTGGCTCAGGTCACATACGGCATCCAACACCACCAGGACAGGACTCGGCCCAGGATCACACACATTGCTCTTCTTTGTATCTCTTTAATCTCCTATAATCTGCAACATTTCCTCTGCCTTTGTCTTTCATGACACTGGTATTTTTGAAGAGTAAATTTGCCTCCCCACATCTTTTTTGTCTTTTTATTTTTAAAGAATGATCCTTCCTCTTGGGTTTGTCTTATGTTTTCTTAGATTATACATTCTCAGCCAGAATACTACAAACAATGGGAGAATGTACCATCAATACTACACTGAGATATGATTTCTCACCTATCAGATAGGTAATGCTCGAATCATTTCTTTAAGAAGGATCAGCACAAGGCTGGTCCCTATGAGGTAGAGGTTAAAGATGTCCCAAATGTCCAGCTTTTCCAAACTGCTGTGCCACTCCATCATCTCTGACATCAGCTCCTCCTCCTCCCCTCAGTACTCTCCCTCCTGTCTTAGGGTTCTGTATTTTACTGTAACATCTCACATAACTCACAAACTAACAAGAAAATGGCTTACACGGTTGTAGACGCTGGCAAGTCCCAAATCCATGGGTCAGGCATCAGTCTGGAGGATTCTCCTCACTCACACGGTTGTAGGGGCTGATGAACCCAAACTGGCAAGTGAGATGACGACTGGCTGCTGTCTCAAGCCCCCCAAACCAGGGATGAGATGATACTCATCCAGGGCAAGAGAGGGAACTCTGCCAGAGCACTCACATGTTTATCCTCAAAGAAACTGAGGGTGGTGACTGGAGTCACACCTTCTGGCAAGGCACACCCCACCCTAATCCTGCATTATCAACACAACAGATAACTCAGCCCAAAATGGGACCATAACCACAGGCTCAGAGGCTAGGATTTATAATATATCACAGACTGACTGGAGGACTATGGCTGGAAGGACCGTATTAAGCAATTCACTGCAATGTAGTAAAAATGCAAAAGCTCGACAGTACATTCTATTGGCAAAGCTATGGTGAAACAGGCATTTTCCCATATTGCTGGAGGGAATGCACAGTGGTAATCTGTAATAAATATTAGGTATTTGGCAATATCACAATTAGCATCAGTATGCTTTCTGCTTTTGGTGAGGTTGAGTAAGCTCCTGTGAGACCAACCTTGTTGAAGGTAGCAACTATAAACTCTGGACATATTTGAAAAATCACTACCAAAAGGTTCTATAAGAGTTAGCAAAAGCAAGCAGGTTCTGGAGTACCGTAGGTTCTACTACTTTGAGCAGTCAGTGTTCTGTGGAGCAGCTAAAACTCTTATAGAAAACTCAGAAAAACCAGTGGACAGAGTTCATGACAAATGCAGCCACTGAAAAGTGAGAGGAGACGCCTAGGAAACAGCCAGAGAAAGGCAGTCCCAAATTTTGCCCAAGTCTCTGGCTGCCCAAGTCTCCGCCTAAATCACGTTCATGCAGGCAGATTCCAAGCAGCTTCAGTAGAGAAAAGAACTCAACTGAGATTTGAGCAGCTGCCTCAAAGACAAAGTTTACAGTTAGAGCCAAACCAAGTTACTTAAGACAGACAAATAAAAAGTAAAAATCTAAAAACTGACACTCTCTGAAGGAATCTAATAGAACTCAGAGGTAACATTCACAAGGTCTAGGCTATAACTCAAATTAACACCATTAGTGAGGCGATCATTTGTGACTTTCAAAACTGCAAAGTAACTGCATTGCCCAGAAAGCCTTGGAGCCACTCACCATCAGTAGGATGTACATGGGAGCTGCCAATCTGGTCCACTAGCAACATGAAAACGAAGCCCAGCACGAGGGAAACACCAATGTAGGCATGCAGCTGCGTGTGGTCGTGACTGTGCTCATGTTCGTGGGCAACTGGTATTTCTGCTGCTTTGTCTGATGCAATCACATTCTGTGTTTCACTCACTTGGTGGTGCTTTCCTAGAGCAAAACAAATCATAAAGAGAAAATGTTTTTCCCCTTAAAACATTTTTACATAGAAACTTCCATTCTTTTGGAGTTCAATCTCTAGCTGACTGCAAAGACATCCACTTCCTATAATGTAATCCAGCCAATCATTAACATCTTCAAGTTAAAGTTCATGATGCAATAATCCCTAAGTGTCTTCTGTTTTTGGCATATGTACCATCTAACTATTCTTCTGCACACCTGGGAAGTGGTAGCAAATTACTCAGTAAGAAAGCAGATACATTCCCAAGAGACATCATCCCCAAATCCTTCCTAGCTGAGAAATTCGTATCAATCTTACCAGAAGCTACAGTAAGTTTTATTCTGGTGAAAATAGGAAATTGAAGAGCAATAACAATGATACTAATTATAATAAAATTCATTTAGTTTTCACCTAGATTGATAGGAAAATTGCAAGGAAAAAAAAAAAAGAACAAATTGAATATAAAATTTTTAGCATTGAAACTATCAGGGAATCCAGTGTATTTAAAGAACTCCGACAACTCAACAACAAAAAGACAAACCACCCAATCAAAAAATGAGCAAAGGAACTGAATAGACATTTTACCAAATAAGATATATAAATGGCCAATAAGCACATGAAAGATGCTCAATGTCATTAATTATTAGGGCAATGTAAATTAAACCACAATAAGATTACCACTTCACCTCACTAGGATATGAACAACAGGAAAATGGAAAACAAATATTGGCAAGGATATGGAGAAATTGGGACCTTCATCCCTTGCTAGTGGGATTACAAAATGGTGTGGGAATTGTGGGAAGTTTGGCAGCTCCCCAGGAAGTTAAATGAAGAACTACCATATGACCCAGCAATTCCACACCTCTGTGGATTACCACTTCACCTCACTAGGATATGAACAACAGGAAAATGGAAAATAAATATTGGCAAGGATATGGAGAAATTGGGACCTTCATCCCTTGCTAGTGGGATTACAAAATGGTGTGGGAATTGTGGGAAGTTTGGCAGCTCCCCAGGAAGTTAAATGAAGAACTACCATGTGACCCAGCAATTCCACACCTCTGTGGAATTCCACCCAAAGAAACTGGAAGTAGGGATTCAAACAGAAACTTATATACCAGTGTTCTTTGCAGCATTATTTACAATAGCCAAAGGGTACAAAGGGAGCTCTGGTAGCATAGTGGCTAAGCCACTTGATTGCTAACCAGAAGGCTGGTGGTTCAAACCCACCAGCCACTCCCCGGAAGGAAGGTTGGGCAATCCTACTTCCGTAGTGATACTGCCTCGGAAACCCAAGGAGGGGTCGCCATGAGTCAGGGCTGACTCAATGGCACATAACAACAACAACAACAACAAAGGGTACAAACAACCCACGTGTCTATCAACAGATGAATGGATAAAGAAATAGTACATCTATCCAATGGGATATTATTTAGAAATATAAAGAGAAAGAAGTTCTTATACATACCATGGCATGGATGAACCTTGAAAACAAACTGACTGAAATAAGCCAGACACAAAAGCAAACACAAATATTGTATGATCCCACTTGCATGAAATAATTAGAATAGGCAAACACATAGAGATCGTGTGGGTATAAGGATCAGGCAGGAGGGGAAAGTACTGGTTAAGGGCACTGAGTTTTTGTTAAGGGTGATGAAAAATCTGGAAACCAATAGCGGCGATAGTTGTACAACACGGTGAGTGTAATGAATGCCAATGAATTGAACACGTGAAAACGGTTGAAACGTCAGATGCTTTACTATGTATTTCACCATAATAAAATAAAATTTTGAAAAATCAGGGAGCAATCAACTAAAAATTGAAAGGGCAGGGCAGTTTAAAAGAGGCATCTTCACCAGCCTAAAGTCAGTCCTAGAACTAAGATTGCTGGGAGGCTCTGAATTACAGTAAATTATACTGGGCCAAGTGATGTTACTAGTTTATGTTCACATATTTGACACTCAGAATTTCATATAAATGGAAGTGTACATACAGTAAGCACTATTTTGTGTAAGTTATCTTTTGCTCAGCATAATGTTTTTGAGATTTATGCCTTGCATGTATCAGTAATTTACTTCTCCTCTTCAGTAGTGTTCCATAGTGTGGCTGTACCAAAGTTTATCTACTCACCTGATGGACATTTGGGTTGTTTCCAGTTTTGTTCTAAATACAGCTGCTATGGGCATTCAGGTACAAGTCTTTATGTAGACATGTTTTCTTTTCCTTTGAGTACATAACTAGGAGTGGAATTGATAGGTTTATGTATATTTAATCTTGTCAAACTGTTTTCCAAAGTGGCTGTACCATTTTATACACCCAACAGTTACATCTGAGACTTGTAGTTGTTCCATATCATTATCAACATTTGATATTATGGGCTTTTAAATTTTAACCATTTCTACATACATGATCATGTCATTTGGCAAATAGATAATTTGACTTCTTGTTCCCAAACATTGTTTTTTATTCTTTTCTTGGCATTATCTAAGTGCCAAGGTAGGGATGATATCTGTAGGGTTTTCAAATATACCCTTTATCAGGCTAAAGAAAGTTCCTTCTTTCCTAATTTGCTGAGGATTTTTCATGAATGGAAAAACAATTTTGCCAAATGCTTTTGTGAACCTATTATATACAGATGATCAAATGATTTTGTACACTATTATTATAGTAAATTACATTGATTTTGGGGATATTAATCAACCTTGCTTTGCATTCCTGGAATAAATGTCATTTAGTTATATATTACTGGGTTCAATTTGCTAATATTTGGTAAGGAACTGCTGTGTATACATTTATAAGGGATATATGCCTATAACTTTCTTTTCTTAAAATGCCTATCTGGATTACAGTGACTTCTTAAAATAGATTGGTAATTATTCCCTCCTCTATTTTTTGAAAATTTATGTATGATTGGTAATATTCATTCCTTAAACATTTGATAGGAATCACCAGTGAAGCCATCTGGCTCTGAATTTTTTTGAAGAAAATATTTTTTTAATAAAAATTCAATTTTTTTAATAGATAAAGTGCTATTCATTTTACCCATTTCTTTTTGAGTGAACTTTTTTATATTAGTGTCTTTCAAGGAAACTTGTCCACTTCATCTAAACTTTTTAGTTTACTGGCCTTAATCTGGATAGTTTATATCGCTATGTCTTTAAGACCACTGATCCTTTCTTCTGCCATAGCTAATCTGCTGTAATTATATTAATGAATTTTCCATTTCAGATAGTATATTTCTCAGCTCTATTTTGGTTTATTTATTTATAGCTTTCATTTATTTCCTCACTATGTTTATGTTTTCCTTTAAATTATAACATATTTATAATAATTATTTTAAATCCCTTGCTTTCTAATTCTCTAATTTCTACCATTGCCAGGTTAGTTTCTGTAGACTGATTTTTCTCCTGGTTATGGGTCACATTCCTGGTTCTTCAGGCATCTAGTAATTTTTGAACGGCCTAAAATTTTCTGAATGTATGTGGATACTATGAATGTTAAACTGATGCATATTTGGATTTTGCCATCTTCAAGTGCTGAAGTTTGTTCTGGAAAGCAGGTACTTGTGGATCAGTTTGCTCTCATTCTAGGATTGTTAAAGCTTTGTTAGAACAGGTTTAGAATAGCTCTGCCTCTAGGACAGGTTTCACTTACAGCTAAAATGTGACCTTTATGAGAGCTCTACTGAATGTCACATATATTAATGAGATCTCTTTTCTGCAGTTATAGGAATCAAATTATCTTCCAGCCCTGGTGAACTCTGAAATTGCTCAATATCTAGCTCCCTGGCAGCTGTTCTTCTACCCAACTTTGTAGAGTTTTACTTTACATTTACATAAAATAGTATTCAGTGAAGATTCAAGGGGGCACCAAAGCAGATCTCTGTAACTCTTTTTCCAAATAGCTTCCTCTCCTCTGGTACTCATGCCTCTCACATTCCATCCACCTTGGCCTCCCCAAGGTACTGCCTCCAGGTGAAATCTGGGATGATCATAGATTCATTTGTTTCTTTTCTCTCACAGATCATATTGTTTGATGTCTGAAAACAGTTGTCTCATGTATTTCGTCCAGTTTTTTTCAAGTTGTTTATGGTAGAAGGACAAATTCTATACCAATTATTCTTTCATAGGCAGCAGTGGAGTCCTAAGCTGAAGATATTAAAGAAAGATTTTGAAATCAGAATTCCCTAAGGTATGCAAGGAAAAACATATTTATCCTAAACTGAGTAGTTGATTAAGGATTTTTTTTTTTTAAGTTGTGACATACAAAACAAAAAAATTGCAAGTTTATAAACTCAAGGTAAATCAGTACTGAATTAATGATATGAACACAAATATGTAGGATGGAATAAAGATAGTAATTATAACCTAAAAGTATCACAAATGCAAATAACTAAAACATTAGACTTCTAATGAAATTGCTGACAATTTCTGAATTATTATTAAATTATTAAAGGCTATCAGTAAGGACAGATATTGCTAGAAAGACTTGGATTCCTTTTAGGAAGGCAAAACTGTTGTGCACTAATATAGATAACGTGACCAATAGGAAATTATTATTATTATTTTTTTTTTATTGCAAAAACAAATTTTAATTTTTAATCTTTAGTTTGATTTAAACATTGCTTTTAGTATGATGCCGACACCAGCTGTGCAGAAAGGGCTCTGGAGAGATGTTCATAGCAGCACACACCTGCAGCTCTTCTTCGGTTCTGGAGGCTCCAGGGCAGCCAATATTGCTTCATCAAATACACTCTTTAGGCCTTTCTGTGTAAGTGCAGAACACTCCACATATTTGACAGGCTTCAGGTCACGGGCCAGCTTTTCAGCAGTCTCTGGGGTGATAGGCTTCTGTTTGTTCTTGGCAAGTTTCTCAATAGTAGAAGGGTTGTCTCTGAGATCAATTTGGGTCCCAACAAGCAAGAAAGGAGTCTTTGGACAGTGGTGAGTTATCTCAGGTACCCACTTTTCTTTCACATTTTCAAATG